AGGACTGTCATCCTACAATTTTTTAAAAGTTTGTAATATTTCACTTCTATTGCTCGGCAAAGGTTATAATATTTTCTCTATCAGCCACCAGGAGCTCGAAAATACTTTCTAAATACCAAAAATAAAAACCCTATAATTTCAATTCATTTAAGGAAACACGTGCAGTGTTTAATTTCATTGACCTATTCATAAAAAAAATGATGGATTTTGGTTATGCGAGTTAATTGGCATTTTTGTTTGAATGATCACATAACAGTAATATTTCAATACATAAAGTTTTTTTTCTGTTATTGAATTTGATCCCCTTCACTATTTTTACTTACGCTGCAAATTGGTGGTGGTACTTTTTTGTTTTGTTTCAAAATAGGGTCACCATCAACTAACCAACCTTCATATCCATACCACAATTGGTCAAATGTTGTAGATCAACTTATCACCGACTTTCAGTTATCTATTTTATTCTTTGTGTGTTTTTGTATTCCCAAAAAAGTGGAAGGAGGAGGGGTCATTCCTTTCTTTTTGGTTTATTTTCTTTACTTTTGTTTTTTGTTTTAATTTTTGATTGTGGTTAAACAACTTAAACCTCTTTTTTGTTTAATATACAAAACATTTATTTTTGTTGCTTGTTAAACAAAATAAGTCTTATCACCAACGATATAAAGTCAAGTTATACAGTAATGATAAAAATAATAGATATAGACTATTGGAGATTGAGAAAAGCTTGGTATTAGCCGAATCTCCGGACATTCTCCAGCAGACTACCAGGTTTGCCCAGACTTATAAAGACTATCGAATGTGACACCTAGAACCTTGGGGTGATTGGTGGTTCTTGGGGAACTCCCTGTTTAAATCCACGGGCCTTCGATTTCCTGTCTCTGATTTCCACGTACGACTGGCGTCCACACATATAGTTCACGATCCAACGTTTCAAACTTGGCTGGAGCGTTGGTCTCTCGACGTCCTCGAACAGGTTGGCGTGACTGACGGTATCAAATGCCTTTGCTCCAGATGGCATAATACCGGACATGCTGCAGCTCGCAGATGAACGAATATTGATCACTCTGCAGGGGATGTTTAGGGCTTATATGTTTTTATTGTATATACCGAGTCTATGGAAAGTAACGGTGACTATCATCCCGAAAGCTAGGAAGCCGAGTCATACGCTACCTAAGGACTATAGACCAGTTAGCCTTACTTTCTTTTTACTAAAGACTTTAGAATGATTACCAGACTCCGAAATTAGGAACATTATCAACCCAAACAAATTTAGTAGATACCAGCCTACATCAAAGGCAAATCAGTGGAAGCTGCCTTACATGAGGTGATCGGCCATATCGAGAAGAATATGGAGACCTCGGGTTACACATTGGCTCCGTTCCATGACATTGAAGGAGCCTTGAACAATGTGAAGCTGGAAACTATCTACTCTGCTCTCGATAGTTCAGGTATCTCCTCCATCCTAACGGATTGGATTGATAGAATGTTGGAAAGAAGAATTATCAATTCGACATCTACTATTGCTTTCGGTGATAAATTAGATACTTTTGAAATTCGATCTCCTCAAGATAAAGGTTGTAGTGGGAAAATTCTGCTGACCATTTCTGACATCATGCCAATGGACTTGGCGTAAACCCCACGAAGACAGAAATAGTACTCTTCACTAGCAAACTCTTCCCTACCCAAACGAAGAATTATCAATTCGTCATTGGGTGGATTCACATTAGCCCTTTCCTTATGAGCAAAATACCTTGGTACAATCCTTGACCACAAAATAACGTTGAAAAGGAATGTTGAGGAACGCACTAAGAAAGGTCATATGGCGCTCTACTCCCCATTCTTACATATGGCTGCCTTGTATGGTGGCAATGGGTCAACAAGATGATGGCTAAAATTAGCACAGTACAGTGATTCTGATTACCAGAGCTTTAATGAGCATACCACAATCAGCACTGAATACAATCCTGAATCTCTAACCACTGGAGATTCTGGTTAAATTCCAGGCTGCAAGATGTACACTGAGGCTCCGGGAAACGGATGCCTGGAAGTCACTGAACTTTGGCCATGCTATATCCTAGTCAGTTATGCTATATCCTTCAGAGAGGAGTGCTCACATCAGTGACTATACTCCCCCTCATAACGACTTCAACGACATCAAAGTACAGCTTCCAAGTAGGGAATCCAAGGCAAGTGACTCCTTACCTTTGGCAGGTCTGTTGATATTTACAGGCGTAGGTGGAGGTTTTTACTGCAAGGAACTAGCCATCTACAACTCACATAAACTTAACGATCCTTGTAGCGTTTTCCAGGCAGAAATCAAATAATAATCAAATCAATCAAAACAATTATTGTCCATAATATAGGACAGGTGACTATATACGTTGATAATCAGTCGACCCTTAAGGCACTTACGACGTGTACAATTAACTCAAAAGCTGTTCGTTACTGCAATGATACTTTATATGATATACGTCAGATTGTTAAATTATGTTGGGTTCCAGGACACAGTAACATAGAAGGGAATGAGATAGCCGATGAGCTTGCCCGAGGAGATTCGCAGTCCTCCAATCTGAGGGCTACTTTATTTGAAAAATCTGTATAGACAACAGATGATGGATACAGGATTTCAGAAATTATCTGACCGAAATTCTCTCGTGGTCTCATAGTAAGATGCAGATAAAAATTATTGTGGGGATCATAAACGTCACTTTAGGATCAGATCTCTTACTTCCAAATGGGACATTAAAGGAGTGCCGTCTATGTGAGGATGAAGAAGAGCTGGAAACCCTTGAACATATACTCTGTATGTGTCCATCGACAATTTGCAGAAGACACCGACAGTTCTTTGGTAAATATGAAACTGATAATCTAGATTCTTCTCCGGGATAGATGCCAAGTAGATTATAATTATTCCTGGGATGTTTGGGATGAACATGGGATATACCGGTCAGGTTAGGTTAGGGATGTACGGTTGTTAGTAACAACCGTCCACTCGGAGACTATTGTCTATTTTGATCATCCTTTATACCTGAAAAGAGAACGGTCAACGTTTTTGTGTAGTCCCCATATAACGTTACACCCGAAATATTCGGTATTTTAGGGATTTTTGGAACGGTTTGCTGGGGAGTTTGGGCACGGTTAACAACCGAATTACCTTTAATTTGGTATTTTGGATTCTCATTGGGTATCAAATGTTCCTACTAAAAATAATCAATATTGGTCCACTTTTTACCCTATCAAAATTTCGGTATTTTGGGGAGCGTGGTTGTGTTTTTCAGCCGAATTTGCTGTAATTAAGTATTTTAAGCTCAAATAGGGTAGCAAATATTCCAACCAAAAATTTTCAATATTTTGACCAACTTTTAACGATAGCTTACATAGTAAATGCATTGCCTCCGGAATCCTAAATAGAATTCCCTTCCTTCAAAACGACACTTCATTCATTCAACTATCCCTGAAAACCGAAAAATCTTCCTACCACAGACCTATAACTAATCCCAATAGAGGTGACAACCATATCCCTTATTTGTCTATATGTCTACCTTACAATTTTGTTCATCACTGTACTGTAGAACGTTCTGCGGTTTGTTGTCTAGACCGCTGTGTTGTGAATTGTGATTAATTATGAAATTGTAAAATCCAAACCGTGTTGTGGTTTTTACAATTAACTGCAAAAATTATCTGAATTGTGATATTTGACTATTCCGATAAGGAATTAAAGATACATTACCGTTAAAGGTCGTCGTCGATCTTTTTTATCTGTTATTAGTATATCGTGGGAAAGATTTATTCATTGGCATTTAATTTTTTTTAATATCATGTTAGGAGGATTGAAAATCGAAAAATTCACGATTAGGTCGAGATGCTTGTATTGAGCTAGCTATACAATACCAAATTACAGTCACTTCAATTGGAAAATGTGATTTTAATTTTAATAGACAGGCGGACATGGTTAAATTTATACTAACTCTGAATGACAAATTTACTATGCACTCCAACATATTGTGGAAGAGTCTAGTGCCTCCACATATTTACTTCCCATCTTACAACTTGTAATCTAAATGGTGGTACTTAGTACACATTTTCCTTCTCCCTCCGCTTGACAAAAACAAAAAAAGTCGTCACCACCAAGTATTTGCCATCTGTGAAAAACAATTGTGATGGAATTCATGGAATTATATTGAAATTCCACTAGTTTATATCAGTTGGTGTGTGTTTGTGTGTGCTGCACATGAAATGCTGTATGCTAAAGAAGAACAAAAGGAATTGAGGAAAAAACATGAAATGATTAAATTATATTGTCAATGGCTAAGATGATGTGGGGGCGTTGTAATGTAAAATGACAAATAGCGTAACTAATATTTATATTATTAATATTTTGTTCAAAAATAAATTAAAAAATATAATACAAATTTTGAGATGCTATTGTATTATATTTAGCCAAAATTGACTTGAATTGTGGAAAAAAGAAATAAATAGATAAATTTTTTAAGTGAGTTATTTACTTACGGATCTAAGTTTTGCAATGAAAAGGAAAGCCAGGAGAAAAACCTACGTACCCACCATTATGTGACGCGTTTCGCCGCTTAACCAACATAGAAATAATATTAAAATCCATGCTTGTTTAAACAATTTTTACTAATAATTTTTTTTTTATTTCCAGGTATTAACTGTGAACTAGGAAATAGTATTTTTTGTTTTTTTCTTGTTTGCCTGTAAATAATTTGCAATGGATCACTCACAGCACACAATGGACCATGGTGAGTATAATAAAAAAATATAACAAAATTATATATTGAAAACAATTTTAAAATATATACTTTTTTTGAATAATAGGCTCCCATGATCATCATTTACACGCTATGCACGCAGCAGTAACTGATGCTACGGCTTTACTAACAACTACCACTCCCGCCCCACACGATCATCATATGCATCATAATCATGCTTCAGCAGCAGCCACAGTGACAGCTGATGTTGTAACAGGGGATAATCATATGGATCATGCTGGTGGTGATCATATGAACCATATGAATCACATGGGTCACATGATGAATCATATGATGTCAATGTCGGTAAGTATCGTGAAAATTTTTCAAATTAAAAAAATGAAGAAAAATAATTAATTTTTTGGTTTCCATTTATAGTTCCATTTTGGTTATAATGAAACAATACTTTTCGATTGGTGGCGTATTGATAGCATTGCTGGCCTTATCGGATCCATGATTGCCATATTTATTGTTGCCGTTCTCTATGAAGGTCTAAAATATTATCGTGAATTTTTGTTTTGGAAAACATATAATCTATTGGAATATCGTCCGGTTACTGGGCCACAGGCTAATCCAGAATCGGGACAAATGCCGCCAGCACCAAGTAATCCTACACCAGTGCAGTAAGTTGGATTTTTTTTACTTATTTTTATATTATTTTCATGGAATTTTTGTTTAACCCACACTACAGTACAGTATAATTTGTAGAGATAAAATGTATATAAGAGGAAAGTCCGTCTGGGTTATGGAACAATGACATGGTAAACATGTGAATAAACTTTGTAGAGGACTGATTATTAATTTAACTCTATAAAAAATCTGTTGTCGAACGGAAATAGGATTGGATTTTACAGGAAATTTGCACTCAGTGAAGATACATGAATGGGAGTTTAATTGTGTTTGTATAGAAAAATGTATTTTCAATAACTTAAAGACCAATAGGCGTGGATTTTTAAAATAATTTTTTCCAACAACCCAAATGCCAAGAGGCGTGGATTTTTAAAGAAAATTTTTTCCAACAACCTAAAGACCAATAGGCGTGGATTTTTAAAGTAAATTTTTTCCAACAACCTAAAGACCAATAGGCGTGGATTTTGAAGTATTTTTTTCAATAACCTAAAGACCAATAGGGGTGGATTTTGAAGTATTTTTTTTTCAATAACCTAAAGACCAATAGGCGTGGATTTTGAAGTATTTTTTTTTCAATAACCTAAAGACCAATAGGCGTGGATTTTGAAGTATTTTTTTTTCAATAACCTAAAGACCAATAGGCGTGGATTTTGAAGTATTTTTTTTCAACAACATAAAAAGCAAGAGGCGTGGTTTTTTAAAGTAAAATTTTCCAACAACATAAAGAGCAAGAGGCGTGGATTTTTAAAGTAAATTTTTTCCAACAACCTAAAGACCAATAGGCGTGGATTTGTAAAGTACATTTTTTCCAACAATCTGCAGACCAATAGGTGGGGAGTTTTAAAGTACATTTTTTCCAACAACCCAAAGCCAAGAGGCGTGGATTTTTAAAGTACATTTTTTCCAACAACCTACAGACCAATAGGTGGGGATTTTTAAAGTACATTTTTTCCAACAACCTACAGACCAATAGGTGGGAATTTTTAAAGTACATTTTTTCCAACAACCTACAGACCAATAGGTGGGAATTTTTAAAGTACATTTTTTCCAACAACCTACAGACCAATAGGTGGGAATTTTTAAAGTACATTTTTGCCAACAACCTACAGACCAATAGGTGGGGATTTTTAAAGTGCATTTTTTCTATAAACTAAAGACAAAGAGGTGTATGTTCGATTTTTCTTAAAAAATATTGAAATAAAATCCTAAAACATATTTTTTGTATAAAATACAATTTTCTTAAAAAAAAATAATATGTATTTGTAAATTTCGTAATAATATAAATAATTTACACATATGTACTTTGGACACCGGTTTAGTATTGCACTTTATGCATGATTGATTGAATAAAAGAACAAATAGTCTGTAAATTCCCCTTAGTTACTGTGGTGTGGGTTACTTACATATACGATCGGTTGAAATCGATCAAATTTCTTGTCTGTTGTATAATTTAGAAAAGAAATATTTATATATATAAAATAATTGTAATTATTATTATAACTTTTGCATTTTGTTTGTTTTTGTCTTTTTTTATTTTGTGTGTCTTATTACCCAACTGGAAAAAAATTATTTTTTTCCTTAAATTTCATCATTCATCATCGCTTTCAATATCTTCACAAATGCACATATATTGTAATTTGATGTACAAAAAACAACAACAATATTATTTTTCCATCACCTCTGTAATTATGCCCGTCAAAACTATAGATATGTCGGAGAAGTTATACACAAACAACCGTAAGTAAAAAATATGATATTGTATATATATTTTTTGTTTTTTTAATTAATTTATAATTTTGCATGTAAATTGTTGTAGAAAAATTATTAAAATTTAGAATTATAAATATTATTTATTTATTTTTTAATTTCGTTGCAATAATTGGATTTTTGTTCATTTTTATTTTTTGTCATTTTATGTTTGTTAACATTTTAAAATTAAAAAAAAAAAAAATAATTTTTTCATTTACTAACAATATATTAATCTATAATCATTGAAGTATTCTTGGACAACCCTTTAATATCCTGCACAAAAAAAAAAAATCCTTTGTTGACTCATGATTTTTTCTATGGGGAAAAATGTTCTCATTCACTTAGAAATGATATTTTGAATTTGAATCCGTGCTGACTAACATATTTTTTCTTCGTTAGAAACATATCTTCCATTTTATACCCTCCACCTTATGGCTAATGAGGGGGTTTATACCCATTGATAGGCACAAATCTGCCTAAACGAAATATTGGTTTTAGACCCCATGTTTCTTTGGACCAAATCCGTTTCAGGCACTATTTGGAATCGATTTACAAATATCAGTCTGGCTGGTGCTCACGTTAACTTTCAAAGGGAGTAACCGATTTTATCGTAAATTTTTTCCAAACTTAAATCAAGTTTCAAGATATGGAATATATGTCCACTTTTTCCGGTACCTACCCCGCAAAATGGTGAACAATTTGCTGACATTTAAGTTTGTAATATAATGCGTCCGTTCGCATTATTTTACAAATTGAATCAAATCGTAATATTTTTACCAATCCTGGACCGGGATCCATCAGTCAACTCCTTCCGGTACCTCCCCCACAAAGTGTCAATATTTTAAAAATTTGTTAATTCAATGTCAAATAAATGAAATGTCCGATTTGTCCATAATGCTAACGGACGCATTCACAGGTTGCGGATAGTGGGAAGACCAATACTATTCTTTGTGTAACTGTGAATACTAATTAAAAAGCCACGAACAATTAGCGGGTTCAGAGGGAGAGTCTCGGAGGAAATGACCGAGTGCCTATGATCGCTAAACTGACGAAGCGAGAATGACACCTTTAAATAGACATCTCATCTACCTCTTATACAGACCCCCCTAACGCTGTTGTGTCATGCGACCACGTGTCCATCGGTGTTACGGTTTGCAGTCAGGGTCCCGACTGTATTATAACGGAGCATTGTTGATACCTGGACGCTTAAAAAAGTTCTTTAAGGCTTAGTTGCGAGTCCTTGCCATGCTCGACCTCAATCCCTCACTAAAATGTTTTTCTGTGGAGACGAATTTTAATAAGTGACTTCTTGATTGAAAGGATTCCTAGACCTAATGCGAAGACCGCCACGACGGTAGTGCCTTCCAAAAAGGAGAAAACTGTTGAAGGTCCTAGCACATCTAAGAAGCTATTGGCTAAACGTCTAAGCCCTCAGTACCCCCCAAGGGTAAACTGAGTACTGAGATGTCTCAGACACTGTCTCAGTACTGTCGAAGTCAGCCCGACGGATAGCCCGTAAAAAGGCACACATTGTGTAGTAATTCCGTAGACCTCCGCAAACCAAAGGCTGGGGTATACAATATTGACTGGCACTCCTCCCTTCACCTTGTCTATGAATGACTCCATTCAGCTCGTGTGAAAGACTTCCTTCAGTTCGTCTATGAAAGACTCCTTCCTCCCTTCAGCTCGTCTATAAAATACTCCTTCATCTATAAAGATTTCCTTCAGCACGTCAGTTCCTCTATGAAAGACTTCCTTTGGCTCGTCTATGGAAGACTTCTTTCAATTTGTCCTCAGGGAAGACTGAAACGTCAGAAGTGACATGCTAGAAAAATACATGACCGAAGGATGGCACACCTTAGCTTTTTTTCGGATGTCCAAAAAGGTTTTCATATCGAAGACAAAATGGATCTTCTACTAGAAGACCAGTAGCAGTTTCTTTTGGAAGACCAGAACTTCTTTTACATGAACGAATCAATCTTGTTCTGATAAACTATAAAATAGTTTCTCCTAGAAAACCCGACATGGAAGGACAGAAAATTTTTTTTTAGGCTTCATATAAGTTCAGAAGGATATTTTAGCAGACCAGATAGAGCTTTTTTAAAAGACCAAACGGATGATAAACTTTAAAATAATGTTCTTGTAGAAGACTGTCCGACTAGATGTCCATCTTATAAAAGGCCAAGTCGTCTTCCTAAACTAGACATTGATCCATTATACAGAGTATAAAAAAACTGCAACACAGTCAAACGCCATAACTTTTATTTTTTTTTTTTTAATGGAAGCAAAAAATCTCGGAAATAGCATAACATTTTAAAATGTTCGAATTGGTAACCTTTGGCAAGAATTATGACCTTCAAAGGGCCAATAAAACGCTGTCAAACGCTGCTCTGCGATATTTTGCCCCATTCCCGGGGAAGCGCTACAGTGGTGCTAATCCTGGAAGTCTTCTCATATAAGTCCAGAAGGATATTTTAGAAGACCAAAAGGAGGTTCTTTTAAAACCCCTAAAGGGTGATAAACTATAAAATAATGTCCTTGTAGAAGTCTTCCCAACTATATGTCCATCTTATAAAGGGCCAAGTCGTTTTCCTAAGAATAGGAATTGATCCATTATAACTGCACAACAAGGGTTTTCTTATAGAAGAACAACGAAGTTCTTGCCCAGGAAGGACAGTAGAGTATTTTATAGGAGATCATAATGTCTCCTTTCCAGAAGGTATCATGGGGGTTTCTTATAGCATACGACACTACTGTTCTTATATTCAAATATCAGAAGGGACTCCATTATGAAGGCAAGAAGGGTCTTCTTTTATAGGAGTCTTTAGAAGGGTTTTATATTTTCGGTAATTAGAAGGGTCTTCTTCCCAAAAGAAAGACTAAAATGTGAATTGGAATTTTGTGCATATATGTGTGTGTGTCTGTGCGTATTTTTGTGCATATTTAATTTTCACAACTAACATTTGTCAAATTTGTTGCTTTTCTCCCACAATCATCCTCTCCTCCCTTGATATAGAAAAATTAACCCATATTTCCAATCTTTAATTTACAGCCCCACAATGTTCTCGTTGAATCATTTCATTCAAACCGGTCTGCATATGATACAAGTTACCGTATCCTTCCTGCTGATGTTGATATTTATGACCTATAATGTGTGGTTGTGTCTGGCCGTGGTGGTTGGTGCAGCCGTTGGTTATTTCCTTTTCTGTTGGAAAAAATCCGTGATTGTTGATGTCACTGAACATTGTCACTAGCAACAGCATACCGTAACAACAGCAACAACAACAAAAGATGTCAGAGGAACTTTAGCAGCGATTCTTCCTGATCGATCGCATAAAAACTTAATGGTGCAGCTGGCGGTAGATAATACCATAACAGCAAGAAATTTCCAAGACAATGAGGAGGATGATGTTGATGGAGAAGGAGAAACCCAATTAGAACAAAGGCTACTACTGATTTCCGAATGAAGAAAAAAATACGAATTACAACAACAACAGAACATTTATTATCAATAGGATGCATAATACTTACCTATTTATCTCTATCTAAAAAATATATACACATAGCAAAAGAGAGTATACTACGATATCAATATCTTCCATGGATTCCAAGTAATCTTATGAAAAAAATGTTAAAAAAACAACAACAACATGCCTAAAAAATGCTGTAATAATGTAAAAAAAAACAATAACAAAAAATGATATCATGAAACAATTATTAACCGATATTTTGGATTTGTCTAAAAAACTCTTCTTCCATGACCCCTTAACCAGCTTCGATGGGTTTTTTTTCACGAACAGTTGTAACTAAATAGAAAAAATATTTTTTTTTTTCAAATTTGTAAATATCGGTGTTAATTGCTCAACAAAGAAGTAACTTTTCGAAATATTGAATTTCTTCTTAAGGCTTAGTGTTTAAGATATTTTTATGATATAAACTGTGAATTTGTAAAAAAACTAAAAAACCAACAACTTGTTATATAGACAAAAATATTATTTTTTCTATAACCGTTAAACTTTATATACATATACATTATTATTATACATGCATAAATAAATTTAATTATTATTATTATTTTTTGTTAAGTTAAAGAAAATCACAAACAAAAAATGTAAAATAAAGATTTTTATTATTTTGTTTTCAATATATTAATTCAGATGTGTTAATATTATTTTATAGATTTCTTAAATGTTAAACATTGCATAATAATTTTGAGAGGCATGTCCTCAGTCAAATCGGCTGAGGACATGCATGTTTTTTCGAGTCGATCTATAGGAATTGAAAGCCGAACATCACAACACAACCCAGGGTAAAGGGAATTTGGACAAGTAATTAGAAGGGCTGTACTGAATATTAGTAATATTTGTGGACCTCTAGTTGGCAAGGGCGGTGAAAATATCGCGAAATATTGCCTAAGCTCAGAATATAGAAGCACACAATGTTAGATTCTCTTGGAAGTTGTTTAGGATATCATAAGAACCACTAAAAGCTGTGGGTTTTTTAAAAATATCTCTCACGAGCCACAAAAAGTTGTGGACAATGACATTATTGGACCATACCAATGCGTCTTCAGACCTGGCAAATCCACCATTGACCAGATTTTCACTCTGCGTCAAATCCTGAAAAAGACCCACGAAAAACACATCGTCGCATACCACCTATTCGTCGACTATAAAGCCGCATTTGACAGTCCTATCCGTTCAGAGGTGTTTAAAGCCATGTCTACGTTCGGCATTCCTGGAAAATTAGCAAGCAAATGAGGCAGCACTTAGGGTGTTTGAAAGAGAAATTCTCCGAAAGATCTACGGGCCGATCTGCGCCGACGGTGAATATCGGCGTCGAATAAACCCCGAGCTTTACAATTTATACGCGGACATCGACATAGTCAGTCGTATTGAGCTGCAGCGACTTCGGTGGCTAGGTCATGTTGTGCGAATGAATGATAATGCCCCACTTCAAAAGGCATATAAAAGCGAGCCTACTGATGGTTCCCGTAGAAGGGGAAGGCCACGAATTAGATGGAAAGACCAAGTAAAAAAACAACATATTGGATCGTGGTCCTTCAAATTGGTGGAGATGCGCACAAGACCGACGCGCTTAGAAATCTTTTTTAAGCTCGGCTTATGGAACAACCGTATTGTAACAAGCCAGCTAAGTAAGTACTGCGTCTGTTGGTAGCAGCAGGAAAATTCATTTTAAAAAAATATACGCCTGTTATAATTAATTTTAAAAAATCCAGGCTCACAACTTGAAATTTTAATAAAAAAAAATCAAGCTTATAATAAACCATGGAAAATATTTTTACAAGCTTCGTGCTTATAGACTCAATAGCCTTTAAAAATATTAAAAATTATTGAATATTAAAAAAATGAATTACATTTTATACTCAGAAACTAGATACATTAGCCTTTCAAATGATTTTTATTTCCCTATAATACGACCATTATTACCGAAGTTACAGCCATTTAAAGAATCAACCCAACAGCATAGTACTACAATTCAGTAATGTGCATGCCCAATCAATGGAGCAAACGAGAGATCCACCCTACTCCAACCAATTTAACTACACCACTACAATACGAAGGCACACAACAACGAAGTATTTGCTATGATTATGAGAAGTAAGTTTCCAAGCTCCACGTTTATAGACTTAAAAACCTTTAAAAATATGTTAAATTTTGAAAAAAAAATAATTTAATACTCAGAAACTAGATACACTATCCTTTCGAATGCTTCTTATTTCACTTTAATACGGCCACTATTACCAAAGTTACATTCATTTAAAGAATCAACCCAATAGCATAGCACTACAATTCAATAAAATGCATGCCCAATCAATAGAGCAAACGAGAGATCCACCCTACACCACTACAATACGAAGGCACACAACAACGAAGTATTTGCTATGAATATCAATTCTCCCATTAAAACCCCCTCTATGGAGCATAACAATATCATCACAGTAAAAGACCTAAGAAGAAAACACTGAGAACAGTATATGTGTACTCTCTCATACTAAGTTACATTCTCCCCTAGTGAGAAGAGTTAACAACAATAAACACAGTAACAACTACAAAAAACGATGTTTGGCGCCTTTTTTGGGATGTTGCATATGACATTCTTGTTCTTACCTTTCAATCATGTCCACTTTGTATTAAAGGATCGCCTTTTCTAAGAAAACATAAAGCCAACAAACACTCGCACGGGGAAAATGAACAAATAATTGTTATTATTCTTTAAGAAAATGCAAACGTGATTGTAAAAACCCCGAATAAATATCAGCGACACACAATCTTACATTGTACGATTTCGACAATGAAACGAAAAGTAAAATCGATAGGAAGTAAAATACTTAGCAACAACACGGTTAAGGCAAAGCGACACACGATTTGTATCCTTTATAAATATATTTAATTATTAAATTCACTTGCGAAAAAACGGACTTCTACCAGGTAATTTATTTAATTAATTTGCGTATATTCCAATTTGATCGATTTCTTATTGCATAGGAATTCCCGCAACCGAACTTCACGATATTTAAAGAAAAACTAAAGTCGAGTAATTTCAGAGAACAATGAATGGGTCAAACGAATTGAGAGTTACCCCACTCTACCTAGGAAGAGAGCCAATTGGCAAACTCCATTGCCAACACACAGAGTTGTTGGTGCCTGGAGATGTAATGAGATGCGAAATTCAAATTAGAACTCCCAAAATTCAGGCAATGCAATTTTTGCAGCAGAGAGTAGCAACAGTAATGACAATTTAGCGATTTTTGTAGGATTTGGTGTTGATTTTTTTAAATTTATTTTTCAAGGCGTGGATTTTTTAAATTAATATTTCAAGGCGTAGGATTTTTTAAATTTATTTTTAAGGCGTGATTTTTTTAAATCAATTTTTCAAAGCGTGGATTTTTTTAAAATTAATTTTTTAAGGAATCCATTTTTTAAATAATTTTTCAATGCGTGGATTTTTTTAAATTAATTATTCAAGGCGTGGATTTTTTTAATTAATTTTTCAAGGAGTGGATTTTTTTACTGAATTTTTGAAGGAGTGGATTTTTTTAATGAATTTTTGAATTTTTGGAGGCGTAGATTTTTTAAATTAATTTTTGGAGGCGTAGATTTTTTTTAATTAATTTTTGGAGGCGTAGATTTTTTTAAATTAATTTTTGGAGGCGTAGATTTTTTTAATTAATTTTTGGAGGCGTAGATTTGTTTTAATTAATTTTGGGAGGCGTAGATTTGTTTTAATTAATTTTTGGAGGCGTAGATTTGTTTTGATTAACTTTTGGAGGCGTAGATTTTTTTAAATTAAGGCGAGGATTTTTTAAATTAATTTTTGGAGGCGTGTATTTTTTAAATTAAGGCGAGGATTTTTTAAATTAATTTTTGGAGACGTGTATTTTTTAAATTAATTTTTGTATTTTTTACATTAATTTTTCAAGGCGTGGATTTTTTAAATTAATTATTCAAGGCGTGAATTTTTTCATTAATTTTTCAATGCGTGGATTTTTTAATAATTTTTCAAAGAATGGATTTTTTTAAATTATTTTTTTTAGGAGAGGATTTTTTAACTAATTTTCAAGGTGTGTATTTATTTAAATTAGTCTTGATTTAGATTAGACGAGTTTACTTGCGGCAATTCTTGTCGTTATCTTTTGAACTTGCTTCATGCGCTTATACAAGGCAATTCGGTTTCCAAAATATTTTTCTATTTGTTGTTTTTTCACATTTAAAACTATATAAAATGTCAACAAATACGAAATACACAAAACGAATTGCCAGAAAATTGTCGGTACGAGCAATTTTTTTTCATTTCTATTCCCCTTGCCCCTCTCTCCTACAAACAAAGACTTGCGGCAAGTAAACTCGCCTAATCTAAATCAAGACTTAATTTTTCAATGCGTGCATTTTTTTAAATTAATTTTTAATGGCGTGCATGTTTTTTAATTAATTTTCAGGGTGTGGATTTTTTAAATTAATTTTTCAAGTCGTGGATTTTTTAAATTAATTTTTCAATGCGTGGTTTTTTTTAATTAATTTTCCAAGTCGTGGATTTTTTTAAATTAATTTTTCAAGGCGTGGTTTTTTTTTAATTAATTTTTCAAGGCGTGGATTTTTTTAAATTAATTTTTCAAGGCGTGGATTTTTTTAAATTAATTTTTCAAGGCGTGGATTTTTTTAAGTTAATTTTTCAAGGCGTGGATTTTTTTTAAATTAATTTTTCAAGGCGTGGAGTTTTTTTAAATTAATTTTTCAAAGCGTGGATTTTTTTTAATTAATTTTTCAAAGCGTGGATTTTTTTAAATTAATTTTTCAAAGCGTGGATTTTTTTAATTAATTTTTCAAAGCGTGGATTTTTTTAAATTAATTTTTCAAGGCGTGGAGTTTTTTTAAATTAATTTTTCAAGGCGTGGATTTTTTTTAATTAATTTTTCAAAGCGTGGATTTTTTTAAATTAATTTTTCAAAGCGTGGATTTTTTTAATTAATTTTTCAAAGCGTGGATTTTTTTAAATTAATTTTTCAAATATTTTTTGAATTATTTATAGTTTTTATTATTTGTGTATTCCCACATACATTGTCGTGAAAATCGCTAAATTGACATCACTGCAATCTGCAACAGTTTGGGAGCTCTATTTAAAATTCTAGTTTGATTACATTCGCCTAACTCCCACCGTTATGTGGCGGCGTGAATGTTTTTGTTCTATTGACAGGGAGATCTCTCCATTATTTGCTCCATACATTGTTCTCGGCCATTACTCAATTTAGTTCTTCCTTAAACGTCGGGCCGTGCGGTTGCGTGTAATATTATTTCAATTCGATCGTATTGCAAATAATTGTTGAAAATTAAAAGCATATAAAAATCCGTGTTTTTCTATATTTTAAATTGATTAAAAATGTCATCAATAAATGTTGTGAAGTGTGCTTTAGCTCTCTTATTAGAATTTCAACAAAGGGCATGGTGTGTGATTTTTTTATTTCTCATTGAAAAATTCATTAGTCAATTGTTCGTTTATTATTTACGCGAGTGCATTTTATTGGGCCGTTATTACAAAGTGAAAATATATGAAAAAATAAATATTTTATATAATTAAAAATCCGTTAGTGTGTATGTTTTCTTTTTGTTAAAAAATTCGAACCCTTTCTACAAAGTGGTCACCATTAAAAGGTAAGAACACAAGAATATTCTTTGCATCTTTCCAAAAAAGGCGCCAAACAATTTTTATTGTTGTTACAGTTTATTGATGTTAACTGTTCTCATTGTGGGAGAATGTAACCGAGTAAAGGAGAGTGCAATTGTTCTCCTCGCAGTGTTTCGTTCTCTGGTCTGTGATATTGTTATGCTCCATAGAGTGGGTGGTAATGGGAGGATATATGTTCATAACAAATACTGTCGTGTTGTGTGCTTTCGTGTAGTGGTGTTGTTAAAGTGGCTGGTGGGCAGTTGGATTTCTTGTTTGCTTGATCCATTGATTGTGCATGCATATTATTGAATTGTTGTGCTATGCTGTTGGGTTGATTCTTTAAATACCTGTAACTTTGGTAATAATGGTCGTATTAAAGGGAAATAAAAAGCATTTGAAAGGATAATGTATCTAGTTTCTTAGTATAAAATAAAATTCGAATAAATTTAACTCTTAATAATTGATCTTGTAAATATATTTTTAAGGCTTATTATAAGCTTGTTTTTTAATTAATTTTGAGGTCTAGCTGTTGGCGTAAATTTTTTAAAATTATTTTCCAAGGAGCATTGTTAAAGGCTTGGGTTCATTTAAAATAATATTTTTAAGGTTTAATCATAGTCGTGGATTTTTAAATTAAAGGTTTACAAATAGGCATGGGTTTTTTAAAATAAATTTTTCAAGGGCTACCAATAGGCGTGGTTTTTCTTTGTAGCCATTTTTCAAGGGCTACCAATTGACGTGGATTTTTTAAATTAATTTTTCAAGGTCTTGTGCGCATCTCCTCCAGTTTGAAAGACCACGTCCCATGATGTTGTCTTCTACTTGGCCTTTCCATGTAATTCGTGGCCTTCCCCTTCTGCGTGAACCATCACCATGAGCTGAGGTATTCTCATTCATGGCCTAGCCACCGTAGTCGCTGCAGATCATTACGACTATGTCGATGTTCGTGTATAAATGGTAAAGCTTGTGCTTCATTCGACGCCGATATTCTCCGTCGACGCAGATCGGCCCGTAGATCTTTCGGATAATTTTTCTTTCAAACACCCCGAATTTCAAAACTGATGTCATTCGTTTTATTTATGTTGGTACCAAGGTACCTAAAATCTTTAACTACTTCGAAGCTGTAGTTCTCAAGTTCCATAGTTGGTCCGAGTATACTGGATGTCTTGCGCGTTGATACCATCAGCTTGGTCTTCTGGCCGTTTACTGCCCGACCAACTTTGGCAGACTCCTTCTCAATTTGTTCAAAGGTGCCTGTTACCGCTCGCAATATTCGACCCATTATGTCGATGTCGTCGGCTTGGGCGAGTATCATATGCTGTTTGGTGTACAGAGTGCCATTTCTGTTCACATTTGCGTCTCGTATGACCTTTTCCAGCAGGATGTTGAACAACAGGTCACACGGCAAACTGCCACCTTGTCTGAATCCTCGTTCGGTATTGAATGGCTCCGATAGGTCCTTTCCGAATTTAACTGCTGACCTTGTGCCACTTAAATTTAGTCTACCAATAGACGTGGATTTTTTAAATTAAGTTGTCAAGGTCTACCAATAGGCCTGGATTTTTTTTTTAAATTTCCAAACTTAAATCATGTTCGAAGATGGGGAATATCGGTCCACTCCTTCTGGTACCTCCCTCACAATCGGTTAACATTTTTAAAACTTTAAATCGAATATCAAGAAAACGGAATGTCCAGTTTCATCGAAACTTTCCAAATCGTAATATGTTTACTTTACATAGATCAAGGACGAAGATGAAACCTGTCGGTTTACTTCATATGGTATCTTCCCTACAATATGTCCAAATTTTGGATATGACCAAATGCGATTTGCAGTGATGAACAAAGGAATTAATATTCGGAGTGTTCAGTAGGGTAGTTGTCCTAAAGAAAAACTAGCAAGGAATTGGGGGTTTATGGGGACTGGAAATTTACCAAGTTTGCCAAGAGTAAATTTAAGCCGTTGGAAGTTCGGTAATCGAAAAATACCATACATTTTTTATAATATACAATAATTTTATTATGATTTATTTTATTTTCTCTTAATCTACAATTGTTTCCCTTATAAAAAAATTTCCTCCTTTCCAATTATGACACCCTCATTCCCGTATTCATTGACATATTCGATGATTGTGACGAGACCTGTGGCATTATATTCTGTTTACGATAATTGGTAAAATGTTCCAAATATTGATTAATCGTATCGATCGGTTCATAGATATCATGCTGCTTGGCATGTAACTGTTGCTGACCCATTGCATTCACCACAGGTTGTGATGAAAAATAACCTGGATACTCTTTAGGCACCGTAACGCCAAGAAACGATTGCAATACTTCTCGTATCATTTCCCAACAATAGAAGAGAACAACACACGGCCGATATTCAATTTCAATGAGGATACCTTTGAAATTTTCCATCATAGTTACGGAACCTAATTTTATTAGGAAATCTCCATATTCAAATCGTGCTCCTTTAGATTCAATTTTTGTCTGTTTCTTCGATGTGTAGACGGAGGTCATTTTCAGCATTAACAAATCGAAGAGGTTGTCGGCGACCAGGGGTATTTGCTTGCCGGTACCAGTATCCAAAATGGAAAATGTTGTCACGGGATATTCGGAATCGTGGAGAACATGTACCGCCTTGGAGGGACCATGTTGTGGGGCCGAAATATACGTTTCACAATCCACTAGAAATTGCCCGGTGTGTACCGCTCCCAAGGCGAGCAGGCGTTTTGTTAGGAAGTCTATGGCCTGGGCACCAGTTTTACCTTCTGGTATTTGATATGGCTGGAGAACGGTTACACCCATTTTATTACTTAAAAATGATGGAAAAATTTAGTATTTTTGGATATAAAATTATGTGGAAAGCTGCCGTCTTACAATCAAAACAAAATGACCAAGGAAAAACAATAGGGATGGCACACTCGAAAATGTACTACAACACAGTGGTAGAGATTTCGCAATCGACAGCTGTAAAGTGGCACAATCGCAATATGCGACCCCTATCCAAACGCAAAGGATAAGCGTATGATTTGTTTACGCTTAGCGTATGAAGATAAGGATTTTGATACTGTCAGTTTGCACTTGCAACGAAAAGTTCTGACTTTTCAAAGAAGATGTAGGGAGTTAAACTTGGTCTTCAAAACGGAAAAGTCTAACACCATATACTTGCCAAAAATAGTATCAAACGATTTATTCTAAAAATAGAGGATTTAGAGACACAACAGGTGAAAAAGTTAAAATTCCTGGGAAGAATCAATACAAATTGTAAAGGGTACAGCGAATTTACTCAAATGTTTGACGACGGTGAGAGGAGGCCTTCACCCGAAACTGGTAAAAGATTTTTACAAGAGCGAAAGTTGAGAATGGCAGAACGACAACGGCCAAAGCGCCGGCGTATATCAATAAAAAGATCGTTGGGTGTAATGACCGTTACACCGATTCATGTGAGGTATGCTCTAGCTGGCGAGCTACCATGAGATATAGTAGCGGAGAACCCACGAGTTAAATCCAGTCATAGTAATGGCTTCACTATTTTTGCCACTGATGCATTGTTTGGACGTGAGACCACAGGGTGTGGTGTATACAATGTGTCCAATAAGGACAAGTTCTCTTCATGTTGAACATTAAATCCTCAGCCATGTTCGGCGAACTTTATTATATTAAAAAGGCGCTTGAAATTGCGGAGGAGGATGGTTATGGTTATCTGGTCATCTTTACAGACAGGCTTGGTCATATTTACAGACAACTATCTGGTTGCTGAATGTCACAATTTGTTGAGGAGAGCAAATATGTACAAATGTCATGTGGTTTGGACTCCGAATCATGAAGGCATTCTATTTAATGAAGTTGTGGACTTTCTGGCAAAACAAGCGTTGGATGCACCAATTGTGTCTTATATGACCCCGAAGGAGGCGATTAAACAGATAGAATGGAGAGTAAAGGACATGTGGAATGATGAGTTTCAGACAATTTCCTTGTCTAAAGGCAGATACTTTTTCCAATTTTGTGTCGATGTGTATACTTAACCGTGGCATTACAACATCAATTTGGGACCGGATGACACACAATTAATTAACAGGCTAATGATAGGACATTCTTATTGCAAAGTCGATCTACATCGTATAGGTGTCAGTGAGTCCTGGCAATGCGATTTATGAGGCATTGAAGACGTGTAGCACTGCATTTTTACTTGCCCAAGATATAGCCAATTAAAAACCGTTTATCCCACCCTTTTTCCCATCACAATAATCTTATGACAATCTTTAAATCCACTGAGGAAGAGCTATGCAAGAATTTAAATCGCTTCATCAAAGAAGCGAAAATACATCTGTGATCCTGATCCCATTCCCATCCCAAACTGTGTAAACTTTTTTGGATCACTCATTAATTTTTGACGTTTTTCCCACTCCCCTTTTTTGCTCCCCTTTTCTATTAGTTATCTCTCTTCAGCAGCCTCGAAATGGCCTAGAGGTCTTGGAGAAACAACCTTGTGCGACCTGAAGGAAGTTCTGGTTCGGGAAATTCTTCGTCTGCGGTTTGCAGTCTTCGCCACTACAAACACCATATGCATATCCAACAAGGCGTGGACTTTTTAAAGTATATTTTTGTAAGGCCTTAGAAGATGCGATTTTTTTACAGAATATTTTTGTGGGTTCCAACAAGGCGTGGATTTTTTTAAGAATATTTTTTGTAATGCCTAAAAATTTAGGAATTTTTAAAAAATATTTTTCGTAAGGCCTAACAAGGTGGGGATTTTTAAAAATAAAAATTAGATACATTTGTTGTTGTTGGATTTTTATTATTATTTTAACAAATAAAAATATACATTTAGAAATAATTATTGCTTGAATCTTGATTCACTTATATTATTATATAAACAATTAATAACAATATATATATACTTGTATATATTAAAATACATACATATATAGACGTACAATATTTAGGAAGAAGCATTAGGTTTTCTTTTTTTGGAAGAAAGGAATTAGGGTTGAGGGCAGGAAAGGAAACCCTATAATTAAGTATAACAAACCGCAATGGGGTTGGGTGTTTGGCCACCTCTTGTTCCTGTTCGGCTTACATTAACTTCTTTTCCGGCGATGATTTCTTACCGAACGGTTTCATTTCAATCAAATCGGTTTTCAGCGAACGGAAACTTTTGCGCAGGGTATTGGACATACGTTTTTTATAACTGGTACTTGTGATCGATATCTTATCGTCATTGGCCATTTTGGGGGATTTGGGGGAATCATCCGAGGAGGAAGCATCGCTGGATGTGGCATTTCCCTTAAGATATTTACGATTGAAATGCAATTGGGGAGTGCCCCACTTTTTGGCTATGAAAGCTTCAAATTCGGGATCAGTGTCGGAGCCACTGTCTCGTTTTTTCTTAGCCTCAAGTTTTGCATAGAATTCACGTTTGGATTTCTCCAGTTCATCTTCAGATGAAATGCCGCCACCCACAGATTCGCTTATGGTCGACTCAGTGTCGGCATAGGGTATGTCATCCAAACGGCGGGTGACTATAACATCAGAGGGTACATTTTTCAGGTTGACACCTTGAATATTGGTCTGTTGGAAATCAATGGGTAATTTACCATTTGGGCTGACACTGCGCCAGGTGCGGGATTTACGCGGTGTTTTGACCTCCAGAACGCGGACACGGTAGTGTAAGAGCTGAAAAGAATGAGAACAAATTAGAATTTTTGATAAAAAATGTAATGGGATTTCCTTACCTTCTCCTCATCCAAAAACTTCGTTAAATCACTGATGGGAAAACTAACACAGGTGCCCTCGGCCAAAATATCCGCATCATATTCACTGTGTACGGGGAATTTCTGTGTCACCGCCAATGCCTCAAAATCTTCATTGAATAACGTAACCTCATATGCAAATTGTAATTTCTTTTCCTTTTGCGTTGAGGTACAGGTCATGGTAAATAGAATACGGTCCTTATCGTAAATTTCATAGAAATTAAACATTTCATTGAAAACTTCGAAGACATAATAACCGGTAAGGGGTTTCTGTTTTACACCCATATTCCAGGTAAGATCAACGGAGTCTTTGGTGAAAATCTTCTCTGCATGTTCAGCCTCCAGATGTTCTTTCCAAAAGGCCTCACGTCCATTCCACTGGCAATTGCCCCAGACACGACCCATAAAACATTTCATCGGTTTGTAAATGCATTGTTTCTCATGCCACGACAGCAGATCATGTTGCAAACGGACCGTACATCCGCCAGAGGCATTTGAACACTTGAAATGGGCCTTCGAGCAGAGAGCTTCAACGGTCAGCGAACGTATGTTGGTGTAGCCTTCCTGAAATGTCGGGAAAAAAACAAACAAATTATATAATTGCAGGTTGTAAGTGGAGATGAAGAGAAAATTGTTTACGTGTGGTTTTTAGCTTCACCACCATATTAAAATTCGTACATTCTGAGACCCCATAAAGTCTTGATCGAAATAAAAATCTATGTCGATTTATACGGAAATCACGATAGATTTCTTAATATTTACAATAGAGATTCGAGATTTTGCATATACTATTAGCAATGGATTTTTGTTATTGAAAATAAGCTATATCGGTCCATGTTTTGGATTAGCCCCCCATATAACGCTAACCTCAAATATTCGTTATTTTGGCTACGTTTATCAATCAAATTGGCTGTAATTTTATATTATGGGTTCTTATTGGATACCAAATATTCCTACCAACAATTATCAATATTGGTCCACTTTTAAGGTTAGCCACCATATAACGATGCCTTTCATTGCGTTGAAAATTTCCCTACCAAAAATGTTCATATTGGTCCACTTTTAAGGGTAGCCACCATATAACGATAGTTTCCGTATTTCGATATTTTAGGGAGTTTGTTGCTATCTTAAAAAAATCATTAAAATAGTTCCCCCCATTAAATAACCAAAAATAAAAATTCTCAAAATGAAATACATAGACTACTAAAAAAACTACTACTACATATATACCCAAGTATTATTGACGTCAATTAAAAAAATTGCTTAGAATTTGTAATCATAAAAATTAAAACAATATTAAGTAGTGTTGCTGCTGCTGTTGGTGACTGGCTTTTTCGCTGATCGATATCAAAATATTGAAATAAATGATAGGATACACTGAAATTTGAAATGTCTTCAGATAAGCGGCGGAGGTGCTTCAAGTAGTTATGGCGTCATTGCTGATTTTAAATTTGATCAAAATCTTCTTCCTTCATTCTGTTAATTTATTATTTACTTCAATATCGATATTTACGTTTCAGAATGTCTTTAGGATTTTATACACAATATAATATTTGGCATGTTTATAAATGTGAAATAATGATTGGTGGTTTTTCTCTTATCTGTAGAATACTTTGAATTACAAGGTTTTTGTTTTTAAAATGTTGAGGAAATACCAGTAATACCTATTATAGATCGTACTTAAAACTGCACAGAAAAAATATTTTAATAAATATTTCCATAATTTCCTTCATAATTTATTTTTTCCTCGCTTTGTATTTCCAAAAATGCTAACATTTCATTAATATCAAAACTTTGTTCCTACTGTACTTTACCACTATTTGCACTCTCTCTCTCCCTCGACAAAAACAAATATATTCAATCCATGAATGAAAAAAAAAAACACCAAAACCACCTCCTCCATTCCCTTCACTTCGACAACAGTTCCACTTGATATCAAAAGCCACTCACACGGTCCTGGTTAGTTTAGCAATACATAGTTTCTTTATTTCAGACCTCTACAGTTGTATTATAGAATTCGCATATGTAGTTTCCAAATTATTTCGATATAAATGTCAAATATATCAATTCCAAATGTTTAAGATTGTATGTGATTACTCTTTGGCAAGAAACCAATATTTTAAGATTTTATGAATTGCATTCATAAAATGCAGAAATATAGATCATGGTTTGGGTAGAATTATTCTTATTGCACACCTCGATTCTTGCCACAAAGCATTTTTTTTTCAATTACGTACTCTGTACTTTCGTCATGTGAAAATGTACTTGCGACATTTTCTTAGACTAAATTCGGAGATATCCCGCAGTTTTATGCTGCTTATGAAAAGTAGTACTTTGAATCACTTTTAAGCTGACTTTGCGCGGTGCGGTTTCATAATGACAAAGAAAAAGTTTACGTTGCTTACAATTAAAGACAAAGCTGACATTCTAAAGAAATTAAGAGCTGGATTTTCCATTAACTCCGTAGCCAAAAGTTTTAACGTGCATAGATCAACAATAACTCGTGTTAAGAAAAATTAACACACCATAAAAAAGTTCGTCGCACATTCTGAATCTGGCACCGGTAAAAGAAAGGCACTTAAACGTTCGGAGTTTCCAACAATGGAAAGAGCCTTGTTCAAATGGTTTGGAAATCATCGAGCGAAGAACTTGCCAATCACATCTGATGTGCTCAAGCTAAAGGCCAAATTACTGCATGTCAAAATCAAGGAAAATTCGAGTAACTTCCAAGATAGCAATGGTTGGGTTGTAAACTTCAAAAAATACATGGAATCCGGAGACTCAAAATATGTGGGGAAAAAAGGAATAACTTTTCTTCCTTGTACGAATGCTGTTGGAAATCATGGATAGTTATTGGAAAATCGTCAAATCCACGTTCATTCAAGAATCCTACTCAAATGGCGTTGCAGCAAATTTCCTATTTCGAAATTGAGGAATGGATCGTTGAATTTAATTTGGCACACACAGCACAAAATGAAGAGGACACCGATGATGACATAACCGACGATGCTGATGAAGACACCGTCGACGTGGTACACAGCAAAATAAAAGCTTCACCGGAGGGGACTATATCATCCTTAGAGGATATTATGATGCTCCAGAGACTCAGAAGCAGTGTGGTGCTTTGGTGCACAAAACAAACAAAAAAATATTAAATTTTTTCAGTTCCACGTAAAATGTGTACTTATTTTTTTTTTTTTTTTTTTGAATTGAAATATTAAACATAATGCTTGAAAGCGAAACAGATATGTGCGTAAAATTGTATGGAAAATAATAAGTCGGTTCCTGCGGCAACCTCGAAACGTACACCGAACCTGGTTTTCGTTACGTGCAAGAATCGAGATACTACTGTATATTAAAAACCCTGAAGCAGAGGATTCTCAAATACGTCCCGAATTATAAAACGAACACAAATCAATCAAAACATTACTGCTTACGTACAACGCCAATTTTGATATACCACCATAGCATTTGTCTATAAATAAATATTTGTATTAATCATTGACTAATATTTATTTAAACATCTTATCATTGGAAAGTTAAATAACAACAAACACATACACGTGCCTACATATATATTATATTTGTTGTCTACATTAAGTTTATGGCGAAAAAGAAGTTATATAAAAATACGTTAAAATATTGAATCGCAAAATATAAGCAGAAAATGGAATTTTCCCAAAAATAGACATGATATACAGGAGTCGGAATGAAGTCCGGAAATTCTACCAAAACACCAAACCGAAGGCTTTGGTGCAGGCAGATTCTTCTGTAGAGATGAAGAAGGAAACCTGGTGACAAATACAGTCAGCGTGTTGAGGATATGGAAGGAGCATTTTGAAAAGCTTCTGGTATCAAATAATGGCGGTGTAGAAGATATACCAGAACCAATACTAGATAATGGTATAGAGTGTATACCACCTAGCCAAGATGAGGTCAGAATAGCAATTAATCGGCTGAAGAATAATAAAGCAGCAAGTGCTGATGTGTTACCAGACGAACTATTCAGATCTAGTAAGGAGCATGTCATATACTAGAAAGGAGCATTCACTAGCTGATTAGTACAATTTGGCTAGAGCAATGCATGCCCAATGATTGGAATCTCAGTATCCTGTGTCCCGTGCACAAAAAAGGAGACAATGCGATATTTGCCAACTGTTGAGGAATAAGTCTCCTTCCCATCGCATATAAAGTGCTATCCAGCTTGCTGTGTGAACGACTGAAACCAAATGTCAATGATATTATTGGACCATACCAATGCGGCTTCAGGCCTGGCAAATCCACCATTGTCCAGATGTTCACTCTGCCCCAAATCCTGTAAAAGACCCACGAAGAACACATAGACACATTCCACCTATTCGTCGACTATAAATCCGCATTAGATAGCACTATCCGTTCAGAGGGTTTAAAGCCATATCTGCGTTCGGCATTCCTGCAAAATTAATACGGCTATGCAAGATAACCTTAACTGGTACAATGTCAGCAATTAAATTAGGAAAGGACCTCTCGGAGTCCTTCAATACCGACCGAGGATTCAGACAAGGTGACAGTTTGTCGTGTGACCTTTTTAACATCCTGCCGGGAAAGGTCATACGAGATGCAAATGTGATCAGAAATGGCACTCTATACACCAAACAACATATGTTATTCGCCTATGCCGATTACATCGACAAAATGGGTCGAACATTGGTAACAAATACTTTTGAACAAATTGTGAAGGAGTCTGCCAAAGTGGGACTGGCAGTAAGTTGCGAAAAGACCAATATAATGGTATCAACGCACAAGACGTCCAGTAGACTCGGACCAAATTTGGAACTTGAGAACTACAGCTTCGAGGTAGTCAAAGATTTTATATACCTCGGAACCGTCATAAGAAAACTAATGACATCAGTTTTGAAATTCGGAGGAGAATAGTGTTGGCCAACAGATGCTGTTATGGTCTAAGTAAGCAAGTCAAAAGCAAGGCCACCTCCCGCCAGACCAAACTCACACTAAAAGACGCTGATACTACCCGTGCTGTTATATGGATCTGAAGCATGGGTACTTGCGCAAGGAGATGAGACAGTTCTTGGGTGTTTAAGAGAAAATTTCTCCGAAAGATTTACGGGTCGATGGTGAATATCGGCGTCAAATGAGCCATGAGTTGTACCATCTTTTCTCGGACATCGATATAGTCAGACGGATCGAGCTGCAGATGAGGATTCCCCCACTCAAAAGGTATATAAAAGCGAGCAAAGTGATGGTTCACGCAGAAGGAATGATCATCGAATCCGATGGAATGATCAAATGGAAGAGAACATTTCGAAATATGGTCTTTCAAATTGGAAGAGCCGACGCGCCTGGAAATGTTTTTTATGCTCAGCTTATGGAACAACCGTTCTGTAACAAGCCAGCTAAGTAAGTAAGATATTTGGATATATCGATGAATCTTGAAGATACTTCCTACGCTACAAACGAGGAAGTTCCGAGAAGAACGTATGGTGACAGACAACTACTACACACAGTCAAGGCGTTTAGACTACTAAATCCCCTCGATTTCAAATGTCAATTCCATAGCGTATAAGTCATGTTAATTCTGGTCACAAATCCTCTAATCCACAACCAGCGAAAAAGTGAATTCTAATGAAGATGTAAACATGTTCCAGTTAACCTTGACAGTGTGTTCGCTGATTAACCAACGCGCAATAAAGAGCCGTCGTGGGCCTTTAAATAGGAAAAAGTGATTTTAAGAAAAACTCGATATAACAAAAAGTAATTTTAAGTGAAACCGGAATAAAGAGCCGTCGTGGGCATTTATAGAAAGAAAGTGTTAGGAAAGCCGTCGTGGGCCTTCATAGAAAGGATCGCCAGAACCAGCAAACCTGAGTTCCTGTAAATCCAACAAACCTGAGTTCCTGTAAATCCGTGCCGGAGCAGTAGCAGCAGACGTTGCAGACTTTAATAATTTAAGTATATGAGATACATGTATAAATTTAAGAGTAAATAAAGCGAAGCATCTGAATTTAAAAGCTAAAACTACATGTTTTTAATCTCGGTCCCTTTATTATAAATTTTCTGTGATGGACCCTACCCCCGCGAGCATATCCCAGCAACAGGAGGAATCTTGTCGTTACAATCGCGATAAAAGCATTAGTTTAAATGCGCCTTAAAATAACTGATGTAAATATCCTGTACAATTTTCGTTATATAGAAGGCTCCAGCCCTACCTTCCGGTCTAATGTGGTAATTCGTTTTCTCAGAGAATGAAATATCAAAGTCAATTCTTTTACATTTTCCCCATATAAAAAAGAGCACCCTTCCGATTTTGGGTATTCCTAATGTACATCTTATGTTTGAGGGCATAACAAATTCCGATCTGTGAACATCATATTTTGGCTTTTCTTTTTTCCTCTATCAATATCCCTTCAATATACATATGTATGTGTTTATCTACCTATCAACTTGCCTAATATTACGTGTTCCACTTTCGACGTTTATCAAATTGTGTAAAGGTCTCATAGTCGATTTTCATTTTCGGTCGACAATAACCTTCATCGTATCGTAAAAAAAACAAACTGAAATTGATAAATAAGCCGCAAGTTATAAAAGTCCGACAACTATCACCACAGCCCACAGACTATCAACAGACAATAAACATAAATCTATAGGCACTTTGCTTGTTACTTACCTTGCACAGTGGGCACATTAGTAAAATCCTTGTACACTGTTCACAAATACTGTGGCCGGTTTTACACAAGTAGATGGGCGATTTCATGGGCAAGGCACAGCCGGGACATTTCAATTCTTCTATTAGCCGTTCATAATGTTTTGCTGGAATATCTTTGGTGGAGGCCTCTTGGGCAAAACCGGCTGCAATGCCATTGTTGACATCCACAGTGGCATTGGAACGCAAGACGACAGTGGCATTTTCCTCGGGATCCAATTGTATGCAGGTTACCTTTAGGGGTTCGGCAATTGTGGTGGCGGTTACAATTTGACTTTCGGTCGGTTGCATGCGCTGTTGCGTGGTGGTAATGGAATAGGTTGGGCTGGTTGGAGTGGTAGTGGCATCCTGGGCAGCTGTTGGTGTGGTGGCATTGTTGTTGGTTTCATAGGCAGTTGGGGATATGGGAAATTCTGGTATGGTGGCTATGGGTGGTGGAGAACTCATTGAATGACTGTCACCAATACCAATGCTACGTGTACGACTGAGCATAGGCGGCTTGGGCGGTGGTGTATTCGGAGTTCTCGGTGCCTTCATAGGCAGTGTGGCATATTTCGGAGAAATGCCGTTGGCTGGACCTGTTGTCCGTTCGGTATGTTGCTCAATATCGGATAGGCTATCAATGTGTTGTTCACGTACCAGAACTCGTTTGGCATTGTAGTTGTTAGCGGCAGTATCATTGCCGTTTTCTTCAGGCCCCTTGAAGGAAGACGCAGCAGCAGCAGTTTCTTTGTTGATCTGCTTGGTGGTGGATTCAGTTTTCTCATCACTTGAATATTCCGAGGTTATGGTATTGCTTAGGAAAACCCGACGCTTTTCATTGAGTTTTTCAATATTTTTCAAATGGCCAATGATTTTTAAATCTTCTAAATTATCCTCAGGTATGGCGGAGGTGAAACCATTACTTGCCGAAGGTGTTGTTGGAGGTGCCTGTGGTGGCGGAGATGTTGGTGTGGTTGCACTGTGACCATTCACTACAGTTGGTGTGTTCGAGGAATCACCGTTCGATGTGGAGCTGGAAGTACTGGTGGTAGATTTGGTACTAATTTTAGTTTTTATTTTCGAAATGGTATTGCCATCGATTTTTTCATCTTGAAATTCGGAAATTTCGGAAGATTCTTCAATTGTATTCATTTTGTAATAGTTTTGGAATTTTCAGTAATGTATGTAAGTGTGTGTGTGGGTAAATAATTATCGCTTAATTCTCAATCACTTCGAATGCAAAAGTTCAGCATTTGCGCGTCAAAACCGTTACCAAGGCCCGCCTTGTATTGTCTAGTCAAAACTTTAACATTCAATTACCCAAAAAGTTATGAATTTATTAGGCAATACTCAATTCTGATTTCCCCCAACCGATGTGTTCGCTCACTCCCGATTGTTCTGATATCTTATCAATAAATAAAAAACAACACTCCAAAGAGTGTCAACAATATCAAAACTCCCCAAGTGAGTAAGAAGAGAATTCTTCGATACGAAAACAAAAATAAATCCCCAATCTGCCAAGTTTTATTTGTTAATAAGAAGAAAAAAATCCGCCATCGATTTTCATTTGAACAACAGGTGTCTGTCCCGAACTTCTATCCATTTGTTTGTTCTTTATCAGCTGGGTGGCAATTTGCAATAGTATTGCTCTCTGCTCTCTCAGTATTTTGATTTCTCATTTGAAAAGACACGCTGCAAAAGTACCTATGTACCCGCCCTCCTGACCCTCGAAAACAAAAATGAAGATGGGACGTGATATTTCACTTAACGTTTTAATAAAACGTCATGATAAAACCTGACAATATGAATGATTTGTTAATAGCGGACACATTGTTTGGATTTTGACGTAGCACCTCTAAGTGATCCAGAACCAGAGATGGGAATTTCGAATTATAGTAAAAAATATATTTTTTCCAAGGAAGTGGATTTTTTAATGAATATTTTTTGCAAGGCTTACCCAAGCGTGGATATTTTAAAGAATATTTTTTTTCAAGGATTAGTAAGACTTCTTAGGGGAGTTGCCAAGTTACTGCTCATCCCCAAACTCAACCTAACCTATGGCGTGGATTTTAGTGTTTGAATTATTATTTCCCAATCCTGGTCTTAGCTGGTACTGTGTACCTTGCCAAGTTGTTAATTGCTTTATAAGTAATGTAGGCTATGATTGAGTCATGATCAATAATCCAAAAATGAAATTGTTGGCATTAAATGCCTACCAAGATTGGTCATATTATTCAAAAAATCGAATTGAGAATCTGAAAGTAATATGGGTGTCTATAATCAGGTCTAACAATGTAATATAATTATTTGCCACGAATTCTATTCTTTTTCTTAAATTATATTTATCTTGTCTATTTTTTGAAGGTTTCAATCTACCGACTATCATTAGTTGGAATTTGCGATTAAATATAAAATTTATTTGATATAGTCAGCCGTCCAAAAAATATTTATTTATGTACTGATAGCGTTTTCAAGGTACGTAAATTCAATGACGTCATCAGTCAACATTAATTATGAATTCTTTCTATGCAATTTTAATTTACTATATAATATTGAAAGAAAGAAAACAAAATTAATAAAATAAATTTCTTACGCAAATAAGAGATAACTAGTAAATACTGGGGTAAACCACATTTTAAACCAAAATCTAGTGGTACTAATTATCGAAATATAACAAATATTTGTCATGTGTTAAAGAATGTTTTTTTTTTTATTTTGGACATTGATTATTTCCGTATATATAAAAGAAATATTCTTTAAAAAATCCACGCCTGAGTAAGCCTTGAAAAAATATTCTTTAAAAAATCCACGCCTGAGTAAGCCTTGAAAAATTATTCTTTAAAAAATCCACGCCTGAGTAAGCCTTGAAAAAATATTCTTTAAAAAATCCACGCCTGAGTAAGCCTTGAAAAAATATTCTTTAAAAAATCCACGCCTGAGTAAGCCTTGAAAAAATATTCTTTAAAAAATCCACGCCTGAGTAAGCCTTGAAAAAATATTCTTTAAAAAATCCACGCCTGAGTAAGCCTTGAAAAAATATTCTTTAAAAAATCCACGCCTGAGTAAGCCTTGAAAAAATATTCTTTAAAAAATCCACGCCTGAGTAAGCCTTGAAAAAATATTCTTTAAAAAATCCACGCCTGAGTAAGCCTTGAAAAAATATTCTTTAAAAAATCCACGCCTGAGTAAGCCTTGAAAAAATATTCTTTAAAAAATCCACGCCTGAGTAAGCCTTGAAAAAATATTCTTTAAAAAATCCACGCCTCTTAAAAGCCTTGAAAAAATATTCTTTAAAAAATCCACGCCTGAGTAAGCCTTGAAAAAATATTCTTTAAAAAATCCACGCCTGAGTAAGCCTTGAAAAAATATTCTTTAAAAAATCCACGCCTGAGTAAGCCTTGAAAAAATATTCTTTAAAAAATCCACGCCTGAGTAAGCCTTGAAAAAATATTCTTTAAAAAATCCACGCCTGAGTAAGCCTTGAAAAAATATTCTTTAAAAAATCCACGCCTGAGTAAGCCTTGAAAAAATATTCTTTAAAAAATCCACGCCTGAGTAAGCCTTGAAAAAATATTCTTTAAAAAATCCACGCCTGAGTAAGCCTTGAAAAAATTATTCTTTAAAAAATCTATGCCTTCTAAAGACCATTTGAATATATTATTTAAAAAAATCTACTCCTTGAAAAAATATTCTTTAAAAAAAATCCACGCCTGAGTAAGCCTTGGAAAAATTATTCTTTAAAAAATCCACGCCTGGAAAAATTATTCTTTAAAAAATCCAGCCTTGGAAAAATTATTCTTTAAAAAATCCACGCCTGAGTAAGCCTAAGGAAAAAATATTCTTTAAAAAATCCACGCCTGAGTAAGCCTTGTAAAAATTATTCTTTAAAAAATCCACGCCTGAGTAAGCCTTGGAAAAATTATTCTTTAAAAAATCCACGCCTGAGTAAGCCTTGGAAAAATTATTCTTTAAAAAATCCACGCCTGAGTAAGCCTTGGAAAAATTATTCTTTAAAAAATCCACGCCTGAGTAAGCCTTGGAAAAATTATTCTTTAAAAAATCCACGCCTGAGTAAGCCTTGGAAAAATTATTCTTTAAAAAATCCACGCCTGAGTAAGCCTTGGAAAAATTATTCTTTAAAAAATCCACGCCTGAGTAAGCCTTGGAAAAATTATTCTTTAAAAAATCCACGCCTGAGTAAGCCTTGTAAGTCCTTGAAAAATTATTCTTTAAAAAATCCACGCCTGAGTAAGCCTTGGAAAAATTATTCTTTAAAAAATCCACGCCTGAGTAAGCCTTGGAAAAATTATTCTTTAAAAAATCCACGCCTGAGTAAGCCTTGGAAAAATTATTCTTTAAAAAATCCACGCCTGAGTAAGCCTTGGAAAAATTATTCTTTAAAAAATCCACGCTTGGGTAAGCCTTGGAAAAATTCCTGGTTAAGCCTTTGAGAATTTATTCTTTAAAAAATCCAAGCCTGGATATGCCTTGGAGAATTTATTCTTCAAAAAATCCAAGCCTGGTTAAGCCTTTGAGAATTTATTCTTTAAAAAATCCAAGCCTGGATATGCCTTGGAGAATTTATTCTTCAAAAAATCCAAGCCTGGATATGCCTTGGAGAATTTATTCTTCAAAAAATCCAAGCCTGGTTAAGCCTTGAAGAATTTATTCTTTAAAAAATCCACGCCTGGTTAAGCCGAGGAGAATTTATTCTTTTAAAAATCAAGCCTGGATAAGCCTTGGATAATTTATTCTTCAAAAAATCCAAGCCTGGTTAAGCCTTGGAGAATTTATTCTTTAAAAAATCCACGCCTGGTTAAGACTTGGAGAATTTATTCTTTAAAAAATCCAAGCCTGGTTAAGCCGTGGAGAATTTATTCTTTTAAAAATCCACGCCTGGTTAAGCCTTGGAGAATTTATTCTTTAAAAAATCCACGCCTGGTTAAGACTTGGAGAATTTATTCTTTAAAAAATCCACGCCTGGGTAAGCCTTCGAAAAATTATTCTTAAAAAAATCCACGCCTGGGTAGGACTTGGATAATGTGCTCGTTAAAAAAAACCCACCTTTTGTTGGGCCTTGGAGAAATTATTCTTTAAAAACTCCAAGCCTGGTTAATCCATGGAGGAAAAATTATTCTTTAAAAATCCACGCCTGGGTAAGCCTTGGAAAAATTATTCTTTAAAAATCCACGCCTGGGTAAGCCTTGGAAAAATTATTCTTTAAAAATCCACGCCTGGGTAAGCCTTGGAAAAATTATTCTTAAAAAAATCCACGCCTGGGTAGGACTTGGATAATGTGCTCGTTTAAAAAAACCCACCTTTTGTTGGGACTTGGAGAAATTATTCTTTAAAAAATCCACGCCTGGGTAAGCCTTCGAAAAAATATTCATTAAAAAGTCCTTCAAAGTCCTTTATACTCAATTTCTGTTTTTTAAAATGCGCTCTTTTTGGGGTTAAAAAAATAGTATTGTCTCTTTCTTTTCCTCTCCATAACTCTCTCTCTCTCTGTATTTGAATTTAATTATCACACCAATTAATAGGAATGGTGAAAAATGTTTGAATATCTTATTTGAACATTGTTAGACTTAGACGATACACACACCCACATACGTACTATAATTTGATTATATCTTCAACCAATTAACAGTAATTTTAATATTTCTTCTCTTTATCGCAGTTAATCACAAAAAAACATTTTAATTAGTGCCTCATTAGAGTTAAATTTATTGTCAATTTTAAAAAGAAAAAAATGCATTCACCGCTTGTCATCCTCTGTTGTTGTATTTTTTTATTTTCTTCCCAACTCACCGAAAATAATATTTTTCTACATATTTACAATTAATTTTATATATATAATAATTTTGTATATGTATGTTATTGCCCACTTTAAATGATGATTGTAGCCTGGAATCCAGTATTGAAATGTTGCACTGTTAATTCTTCTTCGATTTTTTTCCTTTCGTTACTATTTTTTAACAATTCCGAATTA